AAGCATATAAATTATCCCTACTTGTAAAAAGATAGTATTAAAACCTATGCATACAAAAAAATTCTTCAGCAAGTTTTACACTTATGGAAAAAAATATAGGGCCAGGGAGATGGCTCAGTGGAATAAGTGCTTCCCTGGCAAGCGCAAGGAAGGGCCTGAGTTCAATCCCTTGTTCCCCTCACAACAACAACAACAACAACAACAACAACAACAACAACAACAACAAAAAAAAGAAAGAAAGAAGAAAAGAAAAAAAAATACAATCAATGTAGCTAAATACTCCTACTTTCAAATAACGGTTACATTTGACAGTCCTTCTACTCCTGTTGTCTTTATGTAACTACACGAAGGAAAGAATAAGAAAAGATCCAAATATATATGAAGAATAAAACAACACAAACATATAAAAATTTCCAAATAAGTTATAATTTTTCCTCAAGGAAAGAAAAAACACAAATAACTGGTTTGATATACTTTTTGGAAAAAAACTTCACTTAGTGTTTGTCTTTTAAACATGGTGTCCAAAATCTTACCTGATCAAACTAGAAATATGAAGGTGTAACGGCACTACACACCTACATGTCCTACCCACCAGAAAAAGACGAAGCAAGGGAGAAAGAAAACCGCAGAATTGATGTTTTGTCACTCATCACTTCAGGTACATAGTGAAGAGGAACATTCATTCTGGGTTAATATTTTTTAAATGATCCATGAAAAGATAAGTTGTGTAAAATTAAAAAGATCTTAAAGTCGTAAAACATTTCAAATTATATTTTCAATCATGTTCAATAAATCTGATCAACTGAACTTGAAATGTTAAATGTGCTGTCACTATGTATTTCTAAGACTACTACATTTATCAATCACTTTATATGACATTAAATAAAGAATAAAGAAACTTAGAATACTAACCATAATATTACTATCATGAATCTCATTATTATTCTAAATTAGTTTTAATAAACTACATCTTCCTTAGTTTTATAATTTCATTACAAAACATTTAAATGAAGACAAACAGAGGTATACTTTTTTCCAGATAATTTTGAATGTATGTATATGATCATTTTATTACATGTGAAAACATTTTAAATAATTCTGAATCCTTCAAATATCTGCATGCAGATTAAGGAACCAGGAAAGCAACACTTCACCATCTCACACTGATACATTCCAACCAAATAAAAAATTACTTCCTGGGAGAAAAAAATTCATGCAATACAACTCTACCAATCTCATTTATATTTTCATGAAAGTATACACCTACATTACTATATATACTTGGGTAATTTTGCATTCATTTAAATTAGCCAATGTGTAAAATTAAATTTTTCTCTAAACATTAAGCGGTTTTCCTAGCTCTCCTTAAAGCTAGAATGCAACAATACTGCCACCTGGTGTTCACATCAAGTAACACTGAGGTGTGTCTCAAATACAAACTGACTCCTGCGGGTTTGGGTCAGAGTACACATAGAGCTTTGACAGGAGAGTGAAAGAGGAAAAAATAAAAATAGAAAAGGTCACTAGGAATCAGTGGGAAGGAAAAAACAAAGCATGGGACAGAAACAGCATTTTCTCAAGATGATTTCTGCCACATTTTTTTCTTCAATATAATTTGATTTTCTTGAATATTTTACTGACCAAAAAAAAACTAATGGTGAAATCCTTAGGGCTAGTTGTATATGTCCCTATATATAGTTCTCCCACCCTTTGTCCCTTTGTATCCTAACTCAGAATTACCAAGTGCCTAATGTGATTTACTCAATGTGCATAAGCAAATTCACTGATAGCAGTGTTTTGATTACTGTTAATGAGAAGAGATAAAGAATAAAAAAATATCAACTTCAGATGCCAAGACTGAAAAGAATTGAACATCATTAACAATTAGATACATTGGGCCACAGCGCTTTTTAATTACATTACGGACACTGCTAAAACCGTACAGACCTGGCGGGCCTGCCAGTTAGCTCAGTTGTTTAAGCGCCTACTTATGCAAACGCAGTCAAGCAGAGACAAGATAAGGTGGTGCCCACCCCAGCTCCACTTGCCTTACCAGACCTGCCCCTAAGGCAGCCTGAACCAGCCAAAAGAAATTTAAAAAACCCTTTTAAAACCATAAAGACTGGTGACACTGTTCATAGTCAAACCCCAGAAAGGTTACACATTTCTAAGTCAAAAAGCTCCCAGGCCCTGTAACTGGTTTGTTTCCTCCCAAAGGACAAAACTGCTTAAGAGTTTATTTCTAAAAAAGCAAAATGTTCTATCAACCCAAGGAGCAGCAGCGGGGCCCTGACACGGAACGCCCGGAGTGGGGGGGGG